TAATGTAGTTACTATTTTTAAAGTTACTAATAAAGATATGAGCAAGGCCTTACCTTAATACCAAAAAAAAAAAAAAAAAATTACTTGGTTGTCATGATTTATTCAAAACTATATAATAAAGACTATATTGAAATTTATAGTTAGACTACCGCAGCAGGCCTAGAATCTAAAATTAAACTATCTAATTGTCATCCAACCATGAAGACCAACTTTTGCAAATATATTGTAACAAAAATGCTTATTGTTAAACCAAACACCGCGCAATTGAATGAAGATAGATCTATTGAATTCATAGATAGAACTAAAATTAAGAGTATTGATACTGTGATTTATACTACTGAATATCAAATTGAATTCTTATTTTTAGATTGGGACATTGTCTGTGATAAAAAAATTTGCTTCACCTGATCTCGACATCTAATTGGCCAATATGATAAAAAACAACTCCAGCGCATAAGCAGGTACACATCTTGTTAGCAATAGTAAAAAATAATTTTAGATAACTACGTACTTGTATTCCTATTTATATCTTAATTATATTCTTTATATTATTGCATAATTATACTGCAAGTTTATTAGTTTAATAATTACGCTATTACATAGTATATTTTAATACAAGTCTATTAGTTTAATAATTACGCTATTACATAGTATATTTTAAATGCAAGTCTATTAGTTTAATAATTACACTATTACATAGTATATTTTAATGCAAGTCTATTAGTTTAATAATTACGCTATTACATAGTATCTTTTAATATTTTTATAATGATAGCGATAGCTAATTTTAACTTTATTCTATTATCGCATTATTTTGAATTATTGTCACTTACACAATATTAATTTTATTTTAATATTAAATGATACAAGTATTGTGAACATAAGTTCACAATGATTAAAGTTATGATATCGCATTATTTTGAATTACTGTTACTTACATGATATTAATTTTATCTTAATATTAAATAATACAAGTATCGTGAACATAAGTTCACAATGATTAAAAGTCATGATGTTGTATTATTTTAAATTACTAGTACTTATACAATATTAATTTTATCTTAATATTAAATGATACGAGTGTCGTGAACATAAGTTCACAATAATTAAAAGTCATGATGTCAAATTAAGAAACTAAATAATTATATATAAAAATGCTTAGGTTATTATATATATATAATTATAGTTAATTTATAATAGAGTTGTATATACATATATAATAATTTGTAAACAGGTAATTAAAATAAAAAAAATCTTATCTTGAAATTCCCAAATATCAATTTGTTTTTCTACATATTCTAATTCTTTGAAATTTTGGTTTCTTCTTCCTTGAAATATTAAGTTCTTCAGTTTTAGTGTGTTGAAAATGTCATTTTTAATTGATTTTCTAAGTAAAATAATTAACCAAACACCTACAAATATTAATAATCCTGATAGATGTGTTTTCTGCCAAGATATTATTTTATCAAGTTTAGATGAACTAATAACAATATTATCATGCAGGCATTTCTTTCACTATGAATGCATTCATAATTACCACAGTTACTCTAATTCAGAATTGTGTCCTACTTGTCCAATTTGTCGTGCACAAAGTTCAACATCAGGTAATCATACTGAAACACAAATTGAAAATTCAAGTAACAATAACCAAGAATTAAATGAAATAAATAAGGATGAAAATAATCATATTGAGAGTGAAGATGAGTCTGAAGAGGATGAAGATAGAAATAGTTACAATGAAGATGATAATGAAAGTAGAGATGAGTCTGAAGGTAATAAGGAAGGTGATGAGGACTATAATAATGAAAATATTGAGGATTATAATAATGAAAACGATGAGGATTATAATAATGAAAATGATGAGAACTATAATAAGTATGATGATAATATCATTGGTGATAACAACAGTTTGAGTAATATAAGAAAACCAGTGATTCAAGAATTCATAATGGAAATAACAAATCATATAGAAGATATTGAGGAAATAGGTGATGAGATTAATGATGAAAATGAAATGAACATTGAAGAAGGATCCAGTCAAATAACGGCAATGACTTTGGCAAGTCTTTATAAATTGGCCAATAAAGCACGAGAAAAAACAATTCGAAGTACAAGAGATAAGATTATATCATGGTATCGTTATGGTGAAAACCATGAAATTAAAATTAGAGAAATGATGTTGAACAATTCTCTTTCTGAAAGAGCTGTTCAATCAAAACTTTACAAAGAAATATTGGTATTTTTACCAAATATAAAGCAAAGCCACTTGAGAAAAAAAACTGAAAAAGCAAACAAAGTATATGATCTATTTAGACAAATCGGAGTAGACAAAATTGAATGTATCACTACTTTTAGTGCAGATAAAATTTCTAGATTTACTCGTAATGATATACAAACTATTATCAACTATTTTAGTACTCATTAAATGCATATTGTTACATGATTTATATTACTTTTCTTTAACACTATTAAATTTTGTCCAATCGCTTTTACTATATGTAGCCATGCAGTATAATCTTTCCATGTATACTTAGCAATATATCTATTTTTATTATTACTTATTGTAATACATAAGCTATAACTTATAGCTTCTGCTTCTAGCTTCTAAATTGCAATTGCTATTTACATTTTATATTTGGTAAAAAAAAAAGTGATGTTTATTATATTTTATATTGGTTTGTTAGCTTTTATCAAAATTTTTGTTTTTGTTTTGGAATTTTTTCCGATTTAATGATTTGATAATCTCTGATCATATCGAAGGCCTACTGGCAAGACAATTTTTTTCTTTAACAAACGAAAGCATTGGTAACTTTGTCGATCTTTTCTGATTATGTTATGTATTATGACTTATGATCTAGTGCTATCAAATTTCATTTCTATAACATTATCGCAAACTGGTGTATTCAACACATATGCATATATAATGCATATATTAAAACATAACTTAAAATTCTGGAAAAGAGATATTACTTTATATAACAATCACAATTCTAGGCTTGTAGTGCAGATAAATTCTTTAAAGTTTAAGCATTAATAGGTTTACTTGTATATTTTGCATTTAAATATTTAGAAGTTATTGTTAAATTAGGTGTAATTTTATCTGCTGCCAAAAACTCTTTTGCTCTTTTAGATTCATCTTCTTGTAAATTGTCTAAATGAAAATGATTCCACCAATTAAATAATTCTTGACAAAGATATTTAGCTGTTGGTATTTTTTCTGGATCTTTATCCATACATTGTCTTGCCAATTTGACATAACATTCAGATGTTCCTTCTGCAAATTCTGGTCATAATTCCTTACATATTCGTAAACTAAGAACAACATTATTAAATTTTTCAAATTTCTTTTCAAATGGTATCCTTCTGGTTGAAACCTCATACATGATAGCTCCAAAACCATAAATATCTGATGCTGGTGTGAACAGTTTACCCATTAAGACTTCTGATGCCATGAAAAGCAATACTCCAAATATTTCTTTACTTGTATTATTATCTTGTTTTCTAGTTAATTCTAAATCTGCAATATGTGATTCTATAGTTGGCCCTAATTTATCAACTCTTGTAACTAAAAGTATATTACCACTATGAAAATCTCGATGTATATATTCTGCTCCGTGAATACGATCTAAATAATATGCTATGACAAAAAGAAAATTCAATCTTTGTCTTCAAGTAATTGTTTTAAAATTTTTAGTTAAATATTGCCAAAGATTTCCTAAGTCTGCATATTGAAAAACTAACATATATTCGTTTTTGGCTGGATCGCATGTTGTTAAGGTTAAGCATCTATATTTTAGTACTTAAATAAATTATTTTAAGTTCATAGCATTTACAATCATATTATATCATAACTTAGTTCTATTTACTTTACTTTTTTTTAGTAAGTATAAAGATCACTAATTGGTGTATTTAAGTTTATAGCATTACCATCACACTATATCAATATTTAGTTTTATCAGGCAGCTTACTATAATTTATCTGCCCAATAATTTTATTATTGGGCAGAAAAAAAAAGTTTAAAATAGTTTAAACTATCATTTCTGCCCAATAATAAATCATTAAGCAGAAAATTATAGTAAGCTACCTGATAACTATTTATTATCTGGCACCTTACTATAATTGTACCAACAGAATAACTCGAGTTATTTTGATGATGAATTGCATCATTATCAAATAACTCCTTTATTTGATGATGACGCAATTATCATCAAAAGAACTCGAGTTATTCTGTTGGTTCGGTCGTCGTAAGATACCGGATAATACCGTTATTGAATGCTACTTAGCCAATAACTTGTTTATC